TTCTGATTTACTTTTATGAAAAATTAAAATTTAAAAAATTTTTTTTTTAAATTAATTTTATAAATATATATAATATTATAGTAAAAATTAATAATTTAAGATTATTTATAAGCTAAAAGTTTGTAATTTTTAAAGAAATTATAAATTAAAAAATTTTATCATTAATCTTTAACCATCTTATTATATTTACTTTAATAATATTAATCATAATAGAATATTATAAAATTTATCATGAAAAATAATTTTAATTTATTACAATTTTTATAATTTACAATCAACTCTTAATATAGCGAACTTTTGATATAATGAATTTTTTGAACAAATATAATAAAAATACTCTTGTTATAGTAAATTAGCCAATCAAATCTTTTAAAATTTTCACTATAGCCTTATAGTGAAATTGAAGTTTAGGACATAGAGTTTGTTATAATAAAAGTTAACTGTATGAAGAAATTTTATGATTTTTATTAATAGTAAAGTAATTTAATTAGTTTATAAACATACAAATTTTAAAGAAAAATTTTAAAAAATTATTATAATAAATTTTTTAAAACTTAATTTTAAAAATTAATAAACTTAAAATTTCTTTTAATAAAATTGATAAAATATATATTAAATTATATTATTTATATAATAATTTATTATTAACATTAATATTTTTATTTTTTAATACTTCTTTTTATATTCGCAGGCAAATTTGTTTGCTTTACAATTTAAGAGATATATTTTAAATAATTTTTATATTTTAAATTATATTTTAATTTGAAAAATTTAAAATACTATATTATATGTATTTTAAAATTAATGTATTTAGATTACAAAATCTGCAAATTTAAGCAAACTTAATTTTTTAAAAAATTCAAACCTTTCTTTTTTAATTATTTTTATTTTATTTTTATTATACAGAGGATTATCAAAAGTTTCTGAATAATTTTTTATGCAATATAAAATGTTTAATTTTAAAACTCAATAAAAAAATCTATATTATAACTTTATTTTATAGGTATTAAAGGTTACATTTTGTACTATTAAACTAGTATTTAATTAGGTTATCTTCTGTTGTAATTATCGTCTGAATTTGTATTAGCATACTATCGATTTAATTGATTTTCATGCATTTTTAATATTTCTTTTAAGATCAACAAGTCTAGTTGGTTTTTCTTTTTATTCTAATATTTTTTTTCACTTCTGCCCATAAATTTTCAATTAAGTTAAGGTTTGGGCTTTAAGCAGGCCAAATAAATCATTATTTTTATGGCAATAAATTATCATACTACGTTATTCTGCAGTTAATTCATTAATTTTTTCTATTATTGCAGTTATAACCATAAGTTACAAAAAAAAGTAAAAAGGAAATTTGAAGTTAAAATGTTATTTAAAGCAAAATAAATAAATAAACAAATATAAATATATATAAATATTAACTTTTATATATACTAATCACATTCTAAAAATAGCATTCAGAAATTTTTGATAACTCTTTATATATTATTATATATATTTATAATATTTTATTATAAATTATATGTTTATTTTTATTTTTAATTTTTATTATTTTATATTTGTAAATTAATTTTATTTTTTTAAAAATTTAATAAATTTTTCTGTAAAATTTAAAATTAAATTAATTTAACTTATTAATTGACTTAATATTAATTATTTTAAATAAAATGTATTAAATATTTAATTATATAAAATTATTTTAATTAGAGTTCTAAATAGGTTAGATTGGATTGGATTTTAAACTAAGTTACAGATCATATTGAAAAAATTAAAAAAACAGTTTTTTGAGATATTTTAGTATTTAGTAATTGATAAGTAATATATTATAATTTATTGAATTTGTTCTTATATAATAAATCAAATAATAGTTATTTATTATAAACGAATTAATATTGATAAAGTTATACTTATTTTATATTTAGTATAAAATGAAGTGAAGAATTATATATTTCTATATAAAGTGTTATAATATCTGCTTGTTTAATTATTAAGTTAATATTAATTGACTTTTATAATTATACATAAGTCTAAATAAAGCAAATACCAGTATAAATTTTTTAGCTAAGATCATTTTGGATTTAATAATAGTTTCTGTTTGCTAATTATATATAATTAAAGCTCTGAATCAGGTCAGGTTAACAAGTCAAATTGACCTGACTTGACCTAACAAATTCAAATCAACCAATCATCATTCTTGAATAATATTTTATCATTCAATTAAAATGATTCATTATCATTTGAGAATATTTTATCATCTAAGAATGATATTTTTATTGTTTAAAAATGATAGTTTTATTATTCAATTAGAATGATTCATTATCATCTGAGAATAATAGTTTTATCATCTGAGAATGATAGTTTTATTATCTAAGAATGATAGTTTTATCATCTGAGAATGATGATTTATCATTCAATTAGAATGATAATTTATTGTTCAAGAATGATAGTTTTATTATTTAAGAATGATATTTTATCGTTCAATTAGAATGATTCGTTATCATTTAAGAATGATAGTTTTATCATTCAAAAATGATGATTTATTATTTGAAAATGATAATTTTATCATTCAATTAGAACGATTCATTATTATTTGAGAATGATAATTTTATTATTTGAAGAATGATAATTTTATTGTTTAAGAATGATATTTTATCGTTCAATTAGAATAATGATTTTATTGTTTGTGAATGATGTTTATTGTTTAATTAAAGTGATTTGTTATCATTTGAAAATAATGATTTTATTATTCAAAAATAATGATTTATTATTCAAAAATGATGGTTTTATCATTTAATTAAAACAATTTGTTATTATTTAAAAATGATGATTTTATCATTTAAAAATAATAATTTATCATTCAAGAATGATAGTTTTATCATTTGAAAACAATATTTTATCGTTCAATTAGAATAATTTGTTATCACTTGAGAATAATGGTTTTATAATTTAAAAATGATAATTTATCGCTTGAGAACAATAGTTTTATCATTTAAGAATAATGATTTATCATTTAAGAACAATAGTTTTATCATTTTAGAATAATGATTTTATCATTTAAAAATAATAGTTTTATTATTCTAGAATGATGATTTATCATTCAAAAACTATAATTTTATCATTTAAAAACTATAATTTTATTATTTAAAAATGATGATTTTATCATTCAAGAATAATAATTTTATTGTTTGAGAATGATATTTTATCATTCAATTAGAATGATGATTTTATTGCTCTTGAATAATAGTTTTATCTTTTGAGAATGATAGTTTTATTATTTAAGAATGATGATTTATCGTTTAAGAATGATGGTTTTATTATTTAAAAATGATGATTTTATCATTCTTGAATGATAGTTTTATCGTTTGAGAATGATGTTTTATCATTATTAAATGATAGTTTTATTGATTAAGAATGATATTTTATCATTCAATTAGAATGATTTATTATCATTCAAGAACAATAGTTTTATCATTCAAAAATAATGTTTTATAATTTGATCAGATCAAGTCAGATCAGGTCAAGTCAAATGAAAATTTAAATCAGGTCAGATTTTTATTTGACCTGATCTGATTTTTTTAGTTTAGGTAACTTGATTAACTTGATCTAAACCGATCTGTTCAGAGCTCTATATATAATTTATAATATGTGTTCTAAAATTTTTATATAGTAAAATTAAATAAACTATATCATAGCAATTAGTAATTCAAAATAATAAAATATAGCTCATTCAATTTGTCTTTATAAAAGGATTCAAATGGTAGTTATTTTATTTTAAACAGATTAATATTGATAGAATTATTAAATTTGGGTTAATACTTTATCTAACTGATTTAAACTTTTCAGATCAACCTATTAGATCAAATTTAAAGCTCTAATTTTATAAATCATTTTTAATATTTTCTTTTGTTATTTGATAATTATTAATAATAAATCTTTATAATATCAGCTAGACTTTTTTTTTTAATAGAAATTATTAATAAAGAGTAAAACTTTTAGTAAAAATATAATTATTGTTGATATTTACTTTATTTAATTTTAGAAATATAAAAGATATATATATATATATTTTAATTCAGCTATTTAAAATTAAATTTCCATTACTTTATTTGTAGATAGATAGTCTAGGTAGAACTGAAAAAATATTCCTGAACAAGTAAAAGAATATTTTATCTTAACTTAATATGTATCATAATTTTTAATTATGATGTAATATTTGCTTGCAAAGTCTTTATATTAGTAAAAAAAAATAAAATTAAAAACGGGAATAAGTTTATTTGAATTTGAAAAAAACCGAATCGACCTGGACGGAAACAATTAATTAATGATATGCATTATTATCATTAGCTTCATTGATTTTAAAATCATTATTTTAAAGGATCATTAACCTAAGCAAAAAAATGTTCAAAGCAGAAGTATTTTCATGTCGATCAGGTAACATATAAGAGGTCAAACGCAGAGTGACAATTAGGATGTCCATAACAAAAAGATGTCAAAGTCCCAGAATACTTGGGAAGCGTATAGTTTAAAGAATTTACGGATAACGTTAAAATTTGTAATTGCAACAATTCAAACTAAAAGTGAGGAATTTTACACTTTCATTTATTGCAAAAAAGAATTGTATCCCGCCAAAGATAAATCCGAAAGACTTTTAACATTTCATGTAAAGAAAGATTACGGGAGTTAGTTTTTTTTTGTCGGGACTTCTTTTTATAAATCAAAATAAGTGGGGCTTTATTTCATTTTGAACATGTCCAAATTATAATAATAAAAAAAAATATATGTATATATATATTAATTACGTGAATTACAAAAAAAAAAAATATATATATTTAAATATTTAGGACAAATTTTACATCTATATATATATAAAGGAGAAAATTTTAATTGCGGGGAAAATTTAATGATTTTCTTGGGAATCTGTTATCAGCAACAAGATTTGTTGTTTCGTCATACCCCATAAATCATTCCCACCAAACGAAAGAATATCCAAAACCCGTTCAGCTGCCAAACCAACAACTCGAACCAAGGCAACAATACAAACAACACCAAAAATAACACCAAATAACAACCCTAGTAATATTCCAATTCCACTTCCCATAATTGATAAAATAAATGGAGTTCCAATGCCCCCAATTGCTGCCAACATTCCAAACATAACAGGTCCAACGAATAACGCCACGAATGCCGCAAATATCAAAGTACACAAGTAGAAATAATGCCATACAGGATGATCATCTCGTAACTCTTTTGGACGCACCAAATAGTATATTGGACCCTTTCCGGAACTTGCACCCGTAAATCTATCAATTGAAGTTAAATTGGAACCTAGTGTCCTCCTTATATTTTGATCCTTTTTCTTTCGAAATTCAAGTGGATCGCGAATATTTTCTGAAAAAGAACAAGTGCCGAAAGATTAATTGGTTAAGTTATAATTCAGTTTAACGTTATCACTTGACATACCTGCTTCATTGAAAGAATTTGGTTTAAGGGAGGAAGGGTTTACTGAAGACATAGACATAGTAGACATTTTTCGTTATCAGTATTGAAATTTAAATTTTTTTTTTTTTCATAAAAAAAAAAAAAAAAAAAAAAAGAAACGGGAATACTTATATAACTTAAAATATCCTGACGGAACGTGGGAATTTCTCAATAAATATAAATTGATATTTGAAGAAAAAAAAAAAATTTAAATATGTATTGTGATGGTTTTTTTGTGTGTGATATCAAAACTTGTGAAAGACACATGTGAATTCATGATCATATTAAATTTTATGCAATGTAACAAAAAAAAAAAAAAAATGTTTCAAGCAATGCAAGTGTAACAAGTGTTACAAAAATATATGCACGGATGAATTTTTTTTTTTCGCGTTTCCAAGGTTACAATCCACGTGATTATTGATTTATCCAGACGCGAAGTACTCGAAAATATATACTAGGATAAAATGATAAAAATTATTACATGGATTTCCAGGAAAATGAAATACTTTTCATTGCTTTGATGATGGTAAGTGATCAAGTGTTCATATGTGAACACCTTAAACGGCTTCAGTTGTTAAGATTAACATCATTGTATATTCCTAAATTTGGAAGGATATTCAAAAGGGCAACAAGTTATATAAGAAGAGCTTATTTAATCTAAACGCTGAATTTCAATAAGCATAAGACATGTGATAGATACGCTTTGCCACATATTCTAAGAACGGTTCTTTGTAATTACATATTTAACGTACGTACTTTTGATATTTATTTCATCATTGATATATGTAGCTAGTTAGAAAAGTAATAAAGAATCTTTATTATAAAAATAGAAATGATAGGTAATAATGAATACAATAATAATCCGAAATCAGAAAAAAGATTTTACCAAAAAAAAAAGGAAAGAAAAAAAGGGGCTAAATATAAAACCATATAACACAAAAAGCCTATCTATCCTATGTTAACTATAGGATTCGGTTATATATATAAAAACTTCATTATTCGTCATCTTCTTCTTCTGCTTCTTCTAACCATTTCGCAAAAGGTTTAGCCTTATTTCGAATATCTTGATTAATGGCTTCATCAGCGCAAGTAACGGAAGCATTTCTCTTGAATAGACTTTTGAATTTGTCAGAATCACTGCCTTCAATCCAAGCTTGAATGACATCTTCCTCAACTAATTCGCTCTGATAGTAACCCATTAAAATTTTACACACAGTTTTGCTTTCCATTAATTCTTTATGTTCATTAAGTAGTTCTTCAGTAGCTCCCAATAATGTAAGTTGATCGTCCAAACTTGTAACAAACTAAACCATAAAAATAGAATGAAAGTTAGCATATCATTTTATATTAAAAAAAAAAAAGATTTTACGATTTTACCTTTTGAAAAAGCTTCGCCCTCTTATGAATTTGCTTCTCAATATTACCATTTTTCTGAAAGTTGTCAGGAAAGAGGTTAAGAACAAGGCATTTCAAGACCATGTCGGTTTCTTTCGAAATACCAAGTTCTTTAATTTTCTTGTAAACATCATTGTTTTTAGCTTCATTGTTATCTTCCAACCACTCGTCAAGCATCTCGTAAGGTTCTTGTTCTCCTTCGGAATCATCATCAATGATGAGAGAAGTTTTAACATCTCGCTCTAAATCTTTGATACGTTCGGCGACAGCTTCTGGAGAAGTATCGACAGCCCAATCATCATCATTGGCATTTTTATCGGCAATAGGGAGCTCGGAAGCTTCAGCAACAATACGTTTAGTAAGCTCATCATCAGAACCTTCTGCAGAATCTCTGGTTGGGGATGTTGGAGATTCATTACCATTCTTCTCATTCTTCTTATTTTTTCTATCTTTCTTACCATCTTTACCTTTAGGTGAAGTTGGTGGATGTTTCAAGATGTAAGTAACAAGTTTGTGACGCATATCGACTTCGGTTCTTCGACCACAGGCTTTGCAATCACGGATGACTTTTTGAGTATTTGCATTTTTACCGATAATTATCTATTAAAACACACATATTATATATTAAGCATTTGAAATCGATGAATGTAAATAAATAATTAAATAAATAAACTATATAGATATATGTATAAATACCAAATCAGTTTCAGGGTTATTACAATCAGCGCAAAGAACAAACTTTTTGATGAAGACATCGAGTAATTCTTGAAGTCTTGTCGCTTCATGTGCACCATTTACAATGAAACGATCTTTCTTTTCATCGCAATTAACCTGAGCCCCAAGTTCACAACCAAAAAATTTAGTTGGGTCTATATAAGCGATAAAGATTAAGATTAGTACAAAGATATAAACAATTAAATTAATTAATATAATTCATTGATGATTACAAGTTGGTGGTCGACTCAAGGAGCGTGCGATATCGGACATGTTAGGGACAACGGTCTTGATTCCATTGCCTTTGCCTTCGATCTATATGTAGATCAGGAAAAAAAAAAAATTTTTTTTTTAATTAGATTTTATTTTCAAAATAATTTCCTAAGGATTACTAAAAAGAAGAATTTTTTTTTCTTTTTTTTTTACCTGATAAACAGATAAATTTAAAAATTAAAAGAGTAATTTACCTTTGAAATAAGTTTGGGCATTTTATACCGATAAAATCGATCGCTTTCATTTCCTCCGATATTAAGGGTATCCATGATTGCAATACTTTTTAAATTTTATAACGCTAAGTTTAAAGGAATACGGGGATATTATGTAACAATAAAAGGTTGGAAAGTAAACTGGTCGTAATATGACGTCTCAAAATCTGCGATATGGAATTCGTTAATTTGCTTTAGGTCATCAACTTCTTACGTTTATGTTTCTGTAAACGCTTTCTGAAAATGTGTTCACGCTGTTGTCTATTTTCAAGTGATGGACAAAACATGAAGCGGTTGGTTAACAACAATGCTGTTGAATAAAAGAAAAACGGCCTGTTGTTTTAAATGGGTTAACTGTTAAGATTTCAGAATTTTTTTTTTACGAGCAAGAAGAATATATATCTTTTCTTTATTGTTGGTTTTTTTGGATGGTATGATATAAAAAAAAAAAAAAAAAAAAAAAAAAAAAAAAATTTTGTCATACTTTTTACTAAGCAAATTTGCTCCATCACATGATCAACACATTCAAATTATGGCACAAAAAGTTTCCGCGTCCAGTTTTGAACTTGAGAAAAGATGGTGAAAAAGTGTAAGCCATCAATAAATATATAAAATGTATTTATAAATAAATAAATAAATAAATAAATAAATAAATAAATAAATATATATATATTTGATTTTTAGATTATTGCGATTATTGTGATCGTTCCTTGACTGACAATGCTGAAAACAGAAAAAAACATCTCGAGGGTACTCAACATCAAATTAATGTAAAACTTCACTATGATTTATATAAAGGTAAAGAAACAAACATTTTCATTTTCCTATTTTTCAAAATCCGGAAATTAATATTTATTTATATATATATAGATCCTGTTGAATTATTAATTGAAAATAGCAAAAATCCCACTTGTCGAAAATTTAAAGATGATGGATATTGTCCGTACGGTTTGAGCTGTAAATACTCGCACGTTCCAAAGGGAATAGATTTTACGTTCATTGATCCATATTGTAATTAAATTTATTTAATTCAAGTGCAAATATTTTTTTTTGGGAATAATTTTTTATCGTTTCCTTTTTTTATGTGGTAGATTATTTGGCACTTAACCCACATATCTTGCAATCGAATAAATTTACCACACAAGAGCAATGGAAGCAGCCAACTGTACAAACTTTCAAGTATAAATTGCCACCGGGGTTGACAAAAGATTTGCCGTCTTCCTTAAGACCACCTCCGCCAACCGGTTACGATTTTTTTAATGCTGCACAATGGGGTTAGCTTTTACAGAGTTCTAATTTAACTCGCTACCTATCCAAGTAGTCTCAAAATAATGAATCATGAATGAAAGGAAATTTGCGTATTTTATGATACAAATGTGACTTAATGAATTGACGAAAATATGTCATCATAAATCATCATAATAGCCCACAATTTTTCGCTATAAAAAAAAGCTCTCGTAAGGCGATTACAAAAAGCTCCAAATCAAAAAATCAAAAAATAAAAATTAAAACTTTAAATTCTTTTTTGACAAATATGTCAGAATCGCAAAGTCCAAAGGAAACAAATTTACGTGAAGACCTTCCACCTGATCCGGATATAACACCTGGTGATGTTGGACCCTATGGAGACGGGGCACGTCGCGTAAAAGTTAAATCGAAAACTGGTGATGAAACCGAGGGTTATATCATGGCTGGTGGAAATGAGGAAGACAAACCTGGAACAGGTGGTAGGGGAAGACGTGGAAAAGGTGGTAGAAACTTAAGAGGTCCAGGTGTCGGTGGATGGTTGTATGAAACACAAAAAGAAAAATGATTTAAGAAAAAAAATTTTTTTCGTGTATTATAATTTATTAGTCAGTTTCCTCTATTGATCATCCCCCCTTTTTTTTATTCATCTTTAAATGTGACATTTTTTAATAAAATTAATAAAATTAAAAATTTTTTAACGCCGGCAATTTCCCTATTACGAAACTCCGAATTAGCCAACATCAAATCGGAATAATTCGGGAAGTTGGAGTTTTATTGTTCTTTGGAACGATCATTATTTTTTTCAAGTTCCATTCATTGTTGACTTTTCTTCCGTTTAATAAAAATGCTTTCCATTAAAAAACGGAATCAATTAGAACTTGACCTTTCATTAGAAAAGTTGCCATATGAAATTCATTCTTATTCATCATATACTGCCTTTTATTATCCTCGTAATATTATGGAAAATAAGCCTTTGGAACAGTCTTCCAGGTGGTCAAGTAGTTGTGGTGACGAAATGCAGTATATCATAATCAAGCTCGAATCAATGGCCATTGTTCGTATCCTTTCTTCACTCATAAGACAAAGTTCAAAGTGTTGCCCTAATGTTAAATTTTATATTTATCCGTAACCAATTTCATTCATATCTTTGTCAGATAGTATAACGTTTGGAAAATTTAATAAAGGCAGGTTCACTTTAATTAATTTCACATTTTGAAATGCAAATTTACCCATGCTTTTTTTTTTCGCGTTATTTGTCAAACAGGACACGTATGTAACCTCAAAAAGTTCAAGGTCTACGGAGGTTTAACACCGAACAATATGATTGAATTGCTTAGTAGCGGTAGTTGAAGAGTTGTTATATATTAGACAAATTTCAGAACTAGTTTAACTTCTAAATTTAAGATCAAAACCAAAAATAGTTTGAAATTTTATTTTATTCTTTCGCTGTTAGGTTTACGAAATGACGAGATCCCAGAAACCTTTCGACTCAAACACCAGGCAAACAATGTGGTACGTTTAGCCATAAATTTGCCAAATGTTTAAAAAATTATGATTAAGTTATTTATCATGTTTATAGATATTGCCATGTCAGTATATCAAGATCGTTCCACTTGTTGCATACGCGCCTAATTTCAATTTTAGTATATGGTACATCGAATTGAAGGGAATACGAGATCAAGAAGTCGTTCAAAAAGTTTATTATGACTTTATAACTGTAAGTTATTAATTTTAAGATAATTTGTAAAAAGTTGCTAATTCACGCTTTAAATTTTAGTATCGAGAAAATGAAGCCATACGTCTTTGCTTAAAGCATTTTCGTCAGAGAAATTATTTGGATGCCTTTAATTCACTTCAATCGCGAACAAATTTGCTCCTTGAAGACCCGTTTTTAACGGAATTGTACACTCAATTAGTTATGAATGGTGATTTTCAGGTGGTGGAAGAACGTGTGTCCAATGCTTTAGAGAAAGGGTTATTTGAGGAATATATTCGTAGTCATGCGTATAAGCATCAGTGGACTAAGATTGATGCAACGAATATTGGTACGTTTACATCTACTTTGTAAATATTTTTATATTATTACATGTTCATTTCTTCTTGTGTGATAAAGATGGCGATTCACCTTGTATGCGAGGAGGACATCAAATGTGTATTGATGTTGAGGTACGTAACGCTTCATAGTTAATTTTCAAATAACAATAACTTACAAACATTAATAAAAAAAAAATTTTTTTTTTTTTCGGTTGAATAGGCAGGATGCATATATTTACTTGGCGGATGGAATGGAGCGGACAATTTATCGGATTTTTGGGTCTATAACGTGAATACGAAGATTTGGACTCTAATTAGTTCTGATACCAAAGTGTAGGTTAAGAAATTTTCCTTTTGGTCAATATAATCCAGACAACTTATTTTTTTTAAAAAAATGAATTGTTCTAGACAAGGTGGACCTGGCCCAAGATCTAATCATAAAATTTGCTTGGATCCTGACAACAAGCAAATATATGTTCTTGGACGGTTTATTGGTCGCGATATGCGCGCAAATGCTAATTATGATTCCGATTTTTATCGATACGATATAATATGTAATGAATGGGAACAACTTTCAGAGAATACATTGGTGAGAAGAATTTCCTCAATAAAACTTTTTTTTAATTTTCAACGTGAACTTATGTTCTCTTAATTTATATGCTAGTTGGATGGTGGACCAGTGTTAATATATGACCATCAAATGTGTATAGATTCAGAAAAACAAATTCTTTATGTATTTGGTGGTAGAACAGTTCATCCGGATGCAGAGCACTTTTATTATAGTGGTCTATTTAGTTATAATATAGCATCCAAGAAATGGAAATTAATTAGGTAAAATATTTATTAGATTTCAAATTTCCTCAAGACAAATTATAAAAAATTCAATTATTTTTATAGATCAGATGGAAATGATATAAATGATCGAATTCAATTCAAATCACGTATTGGGCATTCCATGTTATTGGATCCGAATGAAAAATTGTTATATATAATAGGAGGAGAAAGGGATAATAAATTTTTAAGGTTTGCCTCATGATTGACCTGATGGGTAGGCAATAACTAGGATTTATTGAATGATCATTTGATAATTTATCTTATTAGTCCTCTTTTACTATACTATTTAATAGTGATTTTTACATTTACGATATTAATGCGGATTCGATATATGATTTACCTGCTGATTATGCAGCTCAAGATGATCAAGATGAAGTCTCTATGCAGAGGACAACTTTTGATATCAACACACGAGAATTGTTTGTTCTTGCTGGTCTCAAGGATAAAAAGGATAAACGGGATAAAAAAGCCACCCTAGTTAGAAATTCGTTTTGGGTTTATGATTTAAAAATGGGAAAGTGGACAAAGTTATATCAGAGCGAAAATTTTGATCCATATAAGACGAGTGATGAAACATCAGAACCACGTCCGAGATATGCTTATCAAATGGTTTATGACAGTGAGAATAAAGTCCAATATTTATTTGGAGGAAGAACTGTCGAAACAGAAGTTTCCAAGCAACGGAGATTGGATGATTTTTGGAAATTGCAGTTAGTTAGGTAATTAATATTTCAATGTGACCTTTTATTATGAATGATATCAAATTTACCATTTATCTTATATCACAGACCGAAATCTGGAGACTTGCTCAGAAAAATCAAATTCCTAATAAGAAAACAAAAGTAAGTAATAAATCAATATAGTAAATGACATGTTTATTTTCTCATTGACAATTTTTTGTTAGATTTCGAGAAATGTGTCTTGAAGGTGATTCAATCAAGGCACTAAAATACCTTCAAGTTCAGCTTGCTCAAGTGGTAGATCACACAAATGAGAAAGAAAGTTCAGAGTTTTATGGATTATCAACTAGTTTAATCCTTGGAGGTAAAGGTAGAATATTAATATTTATTTGCAAAGACTTACAAATAAAACACGATTTGTTTATTTTAGCGAGTTTTTTCACTATTATTTTATGATAATATTTGATTAGATGAAACCAATGATACGTTTAATGAACGGACCAAATTATATGAAAAACTATTGGAATTTTTTCCCGAGGAGATGAAACAACCAAAGGGAAATTTGATCGATTTAATAAACATCGAATAATAATTAATGCATCAGTTAAATTCTTTTTTTTTATTGAGAAAGCAGGGGTATACTGTAACAGGGTAATTATATTTAGTGAGAGAATTTGTATTTTAACGTAATATATTTTTTATTCGTCCAATAAAATTGTACAATTACTTTAAATTTATAAAATATGGAGTTGCCATATGATTAATTTATATGCGAATAAAGTTTTTTTTGAATAAAATTAAAAAAAAATTTATCGACATGGTGGTCATAATTAAATCAGCAGTACAACAATTATTAAAAGAGGTGACTAGCAGAAGAATGATTCATAAAGAAATTAAACAAATCTTAAATTTTACGGAATATTCAAAATGGGACTTGGGTGTATTTTTCGTAGGAGACAAGGAAATTAAAGAATTAAATTTACGATATAGGAATATTAATAAAGCCACAGACGTATTAAGTTTTCCATTACATCAGGTAATATAGGGAAAGGAGGAATTCAAACGATTTATTTTTATTTTATTTTATTTTATTTTTTTTCGTTTCCTCTTCCAAAATATCGTGTAGGCGATTATGCCAGGTAAATTACCTAATCCATTAACGCCAGAACATAAAAATCTTGGAGACATGATAATATCGGTACCATATGTTATGAGATGGTGTAAACAACATGATGAAATTGTTGAAAAAAGATTACCTGTTTTGTATACACATGGTATTTGTCATTTAATCGGATATGATCATGAGAATGAAGATGATTTTGAAAAGGTAAAATATTTTTACTTTGAAGTTCAACCTTGAATTCTATTTAATACTCATTATTCTTATTCGAAAAAAAAAAAAAAAAAAAAAAAAAATGGTGTAAATTAAAGATGAATAAGAAGGAACGAGAAATTTTGGATAAATTTTTGGAATGGAAGAAAAGAGGTGGCGATTGTAATGGTAGCGATTGTAATGAAAGTGAAAGTGAAGAAAGCGATGATGACGGAGAATTATAAAATTATCCACTAATTTTTTTTTATTTTAAAAAAAAAAAAAATTTGTTAACTTTTAAACGACGATTGGGTTCAGATCATTATATACAACTTTTGAAACCTTTATTTAAGTCATAAATCATAAAAACGCACTAACTTTTTAACACGTGTCAAACTATGTATTAATTGAATTTTCCTTATGCACGAATCTATCATGACTCTTTTTCAAAATATTTATAGAACTCTTCAAGTATTGAAGATCAGGTTTCGAAATTTCCAAAAAATCTTTCCCTTCAGTTTGACTCATTTCCGTGCTTAAATCCATTAATTTATCTTCATAATCTATCAGAATCTTGTTAACTTGATCCAAGTGTACGGCAGTACTTTGTAAATGCTTCATGATATCATTAGTAATTAGTAGTTCTTCTTTGGCTTTATTTAATTCAGTAAAACTTGCTTGATTTTCATCAATATATCGTTGCGCTTCTCTATTACCTTCAATAATATATTTTTCGACCCCATCACGTACATTTTCCGCATCCATAACAGATTTACTTGCTTCCGCCACTATAACACGAAATTCCTTAACAATGTCTGCCAATTTGTTCAATCGAGCGTTAAAATATCTGATATCACCATATTCCAACTTTTCCAATTTTTTCATCATTGCGTCAATTTCTATATCAAAGGATGTGAATACAAATGATCCTTTACGATACATTTTACGTAAACTTTGCCCTGCTATCATGACCGTTTCTCCGAAATTTCTCAAGTTGGATGCAATAATATTACCATGGGTATGAAAAGCCGGACTTCTTTCGATCATATTTGCTACGCGACGACACGATACCGTATGTTTCATGATCGCGTCAGAAGCTAAATAATGAATTGATCATGATAAATTCTTAAAGAAAAAAAAAAAAGATCTAATCCTTTTCAAGAAAAATTTTATTTAAATACCGGGAAGATCTAAAGTGTTGATTTCATTAAAGATCCCAGTTGTAGAATCAACGAATCGTTTGAAAAACGATGATGGTTGTGGAGTTGGGAATAACTATTAAACGCATGTTATTGAAAAAACACTTATAGTGTATATAATGAAAACTGTTTGAGATCCATTACTTACAAGTAAAACTAACAATAACAAGATAATGGACAGACCAGTTATTTTGATATGTCGTTGTTTAGGATGAGAGGACAATTTGTTCCAATAGAGAATAACTTTTCTTTTAATATAATTATATAATTGGGAGATGATGATGGAAAATTCTTCTTCGGGTTTGTCATCATTTTCGTTACGGTGTACGTGAAAGATTCTCTTTTGGTCTCCAAGAAGACGGTTAGAATTTCGAGTCTGCATTAAATAAGAAAAAGGAGAGAGAGAGAAAGAGAGAGAGCAAAATTACAATGAATTCTCTGTGACGTTAAATCATTTTAAACATAAAAGCATGAAACGAAAATGATCACATATTCTGTTTCAACCATTGTTAAAAAAGTTTTTTAATAGTGAAGAAATTTTCTTATTTTTAGTGATTTTTATACTATGAGAATGATTTATTATTTTAACTGATTATCAAACACACCTTTTTCTCGTTAGAATGCTTATCTAAATATTTTTTTTTTTTCCTTCGTGAAAATGAACGACTTTGGATAAATTAATGATTAATAATAATTTCGTTAAAACAATCAGAGAACATTATCTTAAAAATTAATTACACGTGGAAAAATTTTTTTTTTGCTTTGAATCGGGGGCTAACTTTATTCTCGTAACAAAAAGCGAACAATTCATAATCTTAACAATTGTGATGTATATTATCTCCAATTAAAATTTTTCTTGTTCGCGAGCTAGATCATCGTCATTATTGTACACCATAACAAATCGTTTATTCACAAAAAGATCCCTATCAATGGAAGTTGTGGGTCTGACTTACTATAAATGTTTAGTTATAATTGACACTTATTATCTTGGGATGGGTAAAGGGATTTGTAAAGAACATTTAATGGATTCAATAACGTTTTGTCGTCTATACAAATATTACGATTTCACTATATCGGAATTTTTTTAAAAGTAATGAATACGGAATTTTTTTTTATTTCGTTAAATCGAAAGAAATAATACTTTAGTGTGTGAAGATTATAAAAAAAAAAAAAAAAAACTTGCTTTTATTATTGTACAACCTCTCTTGTTTTTGAATCTATATAAATCGGAAAATTTCTTTGACAAAAATAATATCAAACCACTTTTCTAAAACTTTCGAGCTCCTCCGTGACATCATCCAAAATGACTCCACACCGGGGAATTTTTTACAAAAAAAAAAATGTGAATCAGAAGAAATTACACTTCCAAATGTTAATATCAATCGTCCACGATTCCATGAACCGGTGAACAAATTAATGTTTTACCATCGATCATTTTATTACGAGTTTCTTACGCGTTCATTAGTCCACTTTGATTTGTATGTTTTAAACCTTCACGATGCATCATTGGAACGTTTCACCATATGTCTTTTTTTGCAAAACCGTATAAAAAGCATACATATATTCTATTCTCATCCGGTCAACTCTGTTATTTTGTAGGCAAGTATGAAAAAGTATAATTGACACCATGAGTACAAATTCGCAAAAGAACTTCCGAAGACGTGACTAATTAACTATTTATTATAAGATGCTGCGGTATGGCAAAGACCTAATGATGATCGGTTAAAGAATCCACAATGCAAAAAGCTAAAGTACAAGACAAATGCGCCCCATTTAGACCAAATAATAAAGACGGAATGTATTTTTAGAAGGGTTTGCATTTATAGAGAGTAAAAAAATTAAGGTTCTTATAGCATTTAGAGAATTTATAGATAGAGAGCATTTAGAGAGGTTTGTACGTAGTAAATTTTAGGATATATGTTTGATCTTTATTTTGCAAACTTTGATCTACAAAATCAAAAGTATATCACGATTTATCAAGAATAGCTCTTTATAATGACATCACAAATATACTTTATAGAACGCATAAGAATCTATATCTGATATTAAATAAATAGATCACAACAAATTATGCGGCACTCAAGGGCATCAGCGATCTCGGTCTCACATAAATTTAGCAATTTGTCGTCATGTTCAAGTAAGATTTCCCCAAAATCATCCCGGGATGGGGGGAAAGGGGGATTCTTTCTTGGGGGGTAGTATCACATAATTTTTAAGTTGTTGTTTTGATGTGGCGTTCTGAACGTTGAAAATTTTTTTTTCGTAGCACTGTTCATTTATTTGTTATGCCCCATATAACAAAAAGAAAAAAAGAATTCACATTCCTTACAAAATGATTCAATAATTGATAAACATCAAGGTGAACAGGGAAAAAAATTTTTTTTAACACAGTTTCATGCAATCCAATCACCATAAGTTAAATTTTTTTTTTTTTAAAAAAAAAAAAAAAATAAACATCAGATTATCATCAATTTAGAATAGGAGTTCGAATAGGGGGCAGGGGAACACGAGATAAACTTATTATTTATTACTAAATTTTCATCAAATTTATCCTTAAATACTAGGCTTTGATAATTGAAACATTTACCTATTTATTATCCTAACTTTATTCCTATTCCATCATCATTTTGTCATTCATTTCATAAAAGGAAATGTTGGTGATTCTAAAAAAGAGATTCTAGCTGAATATTACGATGACGAGATGAAATCAAAGATATGCAAGGAAACACCGTCGATTTTTATTGTCAAATCAGAATCGAAATCAATTTTGGGGAATGGGTGAAAATAAATTTAATGATAATTTTTTGATTAAAAAGGACGGATTCGATTTTTTCATTACCACCGTGGGGGGCTTTTTTTACTAAATCTGCATGTGTAATACTTTATAATTGTTTATGTAGTAGTTTTTTAAACTTAAAATCTTAAATCTTGTCATATGTGTTGTGGTAAATAAATAAAAATTATTCAGCCCAATTAATAAAAATAATTAAAATAGCATTCAACCAAGGCTTAGGATATGGTAGCGTAATACAGAAAAATCTCAATGATTAAGGAAGCAAAGGAACAAAATTCAAGTCAAGGTTAAGGTATACTCATGCACGGTCTGACTGAACCTGGTAATATAAATATGGAGGCTTTCAAAGATTAATTTTTTTTTTAATCAAATGGGTAGCCATCTCATCTCGTGTTACGTAAAGTTACTTGCTTATCTGCATACAATTCTTTTTTTTTTTCTTTTTTCTTTTGGTAAGAAATACAATGGAAAAAATATAAATGGAACTATAGAAAGATGATCCAATAAAAAAAAAAAAAAAAAAATTTTTGAGGTTTCCCCAATTTAAAGTAACTTTATTTGTTTTGATGTAGGTCATTTCAATAATAGTTATTGACAGGAATAGAGCATTGGTAGTAAGTTCTATTATGCAAATGGTATTCTCCGCATAGACAATCCAATTTACTGATAGATGCATGAAAAAAAAAACATGTAATATATACAAATAAAAGGCTTCTTGCATAATTGTCTTCCACTTGTGGTAAAGTAGCGATAAATGACAATTACTGAAAATATTACCAATTGAAAAGAGCCACCTTTATAAAGTTCCTTTTATTTTTAACCGTTAAATAATAAAACAATGTTTCTTCGAAATTGAATTATGGGAGTGGTTCATACGTACTCGGTTGGCTGTAATGGATTTGGGCTAAGTTTGCTTGCCATTGTGAAAACATTGTTGCAAGAACAACAGTATAAAATGGAAAGAACAAACGAGATACATTCCTTTAACGAATCGAATGAAAGTAACCCTATCAATAACAAAGTACCCCCCTCCCTTCCCTGCGGTCGATTCCACATGTAAATTTATTAATTTAGATAATTTAGATGTTAACACCCCATTCCCCCTTAAAAAATAAGCTTTTTTTTTTTTTTTTAATATATGTATTTAATATTACACAAACAAAGAAAAAAGAAAGAAACTATTTTTTTCAATAATGCATTCCAAATTCTTCACATAATTGTTTTTCTAGGCCCACGAGTTCATTTCCTAACAAGTTCTCTTCAGGTCTATACTGTATTCCCTTTATATAACTTATTTGTTGCTTGTTAAACATGTTTTAATTCCTGAATAAAAAAATTTTTTTTGACTAATTAAAGAAACCATTCTCAAGAAAAAAAGAACAATGTGGCAGTGTTCAAAGATATGTATGTCAAATAAATTAAAAAGAACTGCGCGAGACACATAATCTTACTTTATTCAGATTTTAATTCTACTAATATGAATTATCATAAGCTTTCAGAATAATGGAATATTTTTGAAGTTAAATTTTTAAGAGGCGTTTTTATGGCGTTATTGGATATAAGTGACGTTTTTCAGTGTTTTTTATATTTATTTTTCTTCTTTTTTTTCCTAAAAGTAAAATTGATTCTCGATATGATTGTTCCAGATAGTTCCTGGGGCATGCATCATAATACATAACATAAAAAAAATTTTTTTTTTTTTTTTTTTTTTTTTTTTTATTATACATTGGATATTTTGTTTATCAACTTTGATCATTCCCTGGATGGGAAAAGCCTCCCTTGAAATTTTTTTTTCTCTGGAAATATATAAACCCTCCATTTTGCGTACGTTAAAAAGTCGTGCGGCTTTTCGCCCACCTAATTGTAAATAACGTTTAAAAAAAATTTTTTTACGGCTAGCAGTGCTGTATAATAAATTTCTCTTTTTTTTTTTTTACTTTTCTCTTTATTATTCCTTCGCTTATTAGACTAGCGGTCCATGGATTGCTACAATTTAATTTTTTTTCCATCCGTCTCGCATCTTATTTCAAAATTTTTTTTCACCATATATATCATATATAATACGTAAAACGTTTGCATTTTGTTGCAAGAGTCAATCGACAATTGTTTGCTCGAGTTAAAAAGCTCGTAAGTATGCAAAAAAAAAAAAAAAATCTCTAAATACACAATTTTTTTTGTTCTAATAATTATAATTATTTTACCATTTTTTTTTAAAGGCAACAATTCTAAATTACGGTTGAAGAAAATCTCTATATAAGGATTGACTCCGTGTGTTCATCGTCTACAAGTGCTATCGCGTCATCGTGTGTTTTTAATCCGTCAGAATCACGAATAACTAGATGACAGCTGAATCGCTTGTGAGAACCGGTTTGGAGACAAAACCTTACAATGGATTATTTTCCCCGTCCAGTATAAAATAACTACTACCGATAAGACCCGTCGTTCACCGAATGCAAACGATCACGAATCGCAAGACTTCTTTATGTTGTGAGACGGACACATTTTATTCAAAAAGGATCAAATGATTTGTGAACTTGCATGTGAGATGGAACTATTGTGTCAGGGATTTCGAAATTTTTATTTTTTCGACGACGAAATTTAAATACCAAAAAATCAACCGTATATCGTCTTTTGGAATTCGGATCGTATTATAACATAATTTTTTCTTTATTTGCCTAATTTCGAAATTACCTGACATCTTTTTATTATCACCATTCCATTATGCGCGACTGTGGTTGGTAGCAGTTTTTTATTACTGTCCTCATAATTATGGATAATCTAACAATTATTAGTAATCTAATGTTATGTGGAATTTCGTTAAAATTTTCTTGCAACAATGCATTTCTCAACAACAAAAAAAAAAAAAAAAACTTTAGTGGGATTTCTTTTTTGGATGGAGGATTAAAAATATCGTCCGTTTTCCTTTTTTTGTATTTTTTTTCTCCTCAACCGTTTTCTTCTTGTGGTAAAATTAGTTTATACCTTTTATTACCCACCACACTCCATCCATCGTCCCTGTTACCGCGAATATGGGCTATTAAATTTAATATGCTCAAGATTTTCTCGATTAAAATCGCTTAATGCTTATGTTAATATTTTTTTTTTTTTTAGTAAATAGTTTCTTTTTTTTTTTATAAAAACTTTTTTTTTTATATCTTTTCTCTTTTTTTCTTACTCTTTTTTTTCTTTTTACCTTTTTTTTCTTACCATCGTCTTTATTACGAAAAATCATCTGTCGCAAAATAAGCGTCTTTTTTTCTTTGCTAATTTTGCTCATATTTCGATAATAGTTTTTACTCCATTAAACCTGTAAATTTCGTTGCACATAATTTTTTTTTTTTTTATATGAATAATTTTTTTTTTTGCGACAGAATTGTTTATATAAAAATAAAAAAAAACGTAAATACAATCAACAATAAAAATCAACAATAAAAAATAAACAAAAAACAAAAATATTAAATTACCTTACATGAAGTTAATTTTTTAACATGTGAAATAAGAGGACAAAGTTTCTGATTGGCCAATCCAATATCGCGAACCATGTCATAAAGCCCTAAAATTTAGGATATTCAATCTTTTTTTTTTTTTAAAAAAAAAAAATAATCACTTATGAGGGATGATTAAGCAATTAAACCCTCTTAACCTGCTCCTCTCTTGTTTCCGCGTAACAAATAGTAATTCGATAACGAATTTACGAATAAAATCATTTCGTTACTATAACGATAACCAATCTAATAAATCATCATCATCATCTTCACATAATAGTGGAGAGAATGATGGTGGTGGTGATGATGTCGGTAATACAATAGATTTTACTCCGGAATCGATCGAACTTATTCGAAATAGATTACAATATTCCGGAAAATCAAATTATAAATTTACTTTTGATACTACAAAAAAGATCGAGGAGGCTGCTGTTTTGATGGTAAAAGGAAAATTTTATTTAACATTTTTTTTTTTTTTTTTTTTTAAAAAAAAAATTGTTTATTTATTTATTTTTAATAGCCTCTCTGTGTTGTCGATGGTAAACCAAGCGTTTTGTTTACAATAAGAAGTCTGAATTTAAAAACTCATACAGGTGAAGTAAGGTATTATAAAAAGTTTTTTTTTTTCATAATCTAATTTTTTTTTTTTTTTTTTTAATAAAAAAAAATAAACTTTTCAAATCAATTATAATAGTTTTCCAGGAGGAAAAAAGGAATCAACAGATTCTTCATTAGAATCAACGGCATTAAGAGAAACTTGTGAAGAAATTGGTATACCAACATCTCAAATAGATGTTTTAGGGAAAGATTCAACTTTGCCAAATAAAGACAGAACAATTAAAGTACATCCTTTCATTGGAATTATTAAGCACCCTATTGACATTAAGAAAGTTAACTTTAATAAAGATGAGGTTTACGGTGTTTTTAGCGTCACTTTGAAAGATCTGCTGAATAAAGACAAGAGGAGATTGGAAAGGTTTAGAGATTCAAAAATCAAGTATCCTGTATGTATGATCGAAATGATATCTTTAAAATGTAAAAAGTGTTTGGAAGTGAAACAAAAAAGGATTGTTCTTTGCTCTTTCATTCTTAGGTATTCGCAACACCAAAAGAGATTGGACTTGAAATTTGGGGATTAACTGCGTTTATATTGGAAAGTGCGTAAACATTCTACTTTTTCTACTTTTCAAGTGTGATGATAATATTTAATTAATCCTTCCTTCAATATTCTTTTCTAGGTGTATTACGCAAGATAACGAATCCCCCTTTGAGATAGTCTGCCGAAAATCTCCAACTAAAATTTATAAATTCTCCTACCGACCAAGTTAACGTTACCTCGTTATTATAATTCAAGAGATTGATAACTTGGAAATACAAAATCTTCATCGATTAATTTCCTTAGCTGATCAACAATAAATTTCTCTAATTTTCCTACATTCTTCAAAACTTAATGTAAAAGAGAAAGCAAGTTAATTAATTAGATATATGTAAAGTAAATTATTTAATGTAACTTATTATTAATAAAATTCATCTTACCTTGCTTTTCTTTATCACCAATTTCGGACTCAATGTGAACATCTTTTAAAAGGCTAAAAATATAAATATTAATGTAAAAATTACGATTCATCTTTACGCGAATCGTATATTTAAATAATTAACGATCATGATCACTCCATTAGTTACCTTTCTTCGGGATCCTTTGGTTCCAAGAAACAAAAATTAATTCGATGTCGAAGATATGCAATCACAGCTGTAGCTATATACCGATAATCCAAGAATAAAGAAAACGAGAAAGTCAATGCTCTTCTAGTCTTTTTTTTTTTTTTTTTTTCTTTTAAAATAAAATCAAGACCCTCAATTTAAATAATCACCAGAAAATTCAAATCCTGTTACAGTCAACCTAACAGGTAAACTCATAAACATTAAACTAGGATAATTCATATATAATTCGGTAGAAATGGTCATTTTCATGTTCCCTTTGTAAGTTATTGCGATATGAATTTGTGCATCAGTATCTTGCTTCGATGGTACTTCTTCTTCTTCTGATTGTAAATTATCATGATAATCCTCTCTTAAATGTAAAGGAATTTCGGTCCTTGCTTGTTCTCGTAACCTTGGTTGTTGCTTCTGAAAATATAAATAATCTGTAGATGAATCTGAAGCAGTCGAGAATGATGATATGATGGGTGATAAAGGTGTGGATGTAAGTGACGGTGAATTGTTGTTATTATTATTGTTATTGTTGTTGTTGTTATCGTTGTTGTTAATAATAATATTATTATTATGAAGGGGATGAGATCGAAGAAAAGACGAAGAGGGGGAAATATTTTGCGAGGTTTGATGTCCGTTATTAACAACCCTATCTCTCATTCCTTCCCTCCCGACTCCAACCCCGACTCCAACCCCATTACTACTACTTCCACTTCTTATTCCATCTCCTAGTATTCTTGATTCAGTAGAATCAGAACTAACATCAACTTCTACAACATCATCGGGTAAATAAAATTCTGGAAAAGGATCTGTGACATCAATAATTTCAATTGATGGTGATAGAGTACCAAAATCAAAATCCGATATTTCTATATTCCCTATAAACGAAGGTTTATTATTCGTATTACGAAAATGTTCATTTATTATATCTTGAACTTTTTGTGCTACTTGTCTATCAAGTTTCTCCCAAAATATATCAAAAGACATTGGTATAACATAAATAAGAAAAAGTACCTTTTTTCTTTTTTTTTTTTTTTTTTTTTTTTTTTTTGTTGATTTGGGGAGGAAAATTCTGAATTTTATACAAACATCAGTGAGATCGGCATATGATTTTATTTGGATGATCGCCAATCCATATTTAGTCTTGACGTTAAGATTTTTTACACGTGACTAGATTCCGGACAGTATTACGAAACTTCGGACGATTTATTGTATTAACTTCGGAAATATGTTTGTGTAATTATCAATTTTATTAATTATTTAGTTAAATATTAAATTTAAACAGATTATAAATATTGATGTATGCAAAATATTTTAACTTATGATGTATGCATATATTATTTTAGCAAGAATTTTATTAAAACATCTTTTTCTTCAAAATTATAAATAAAATAACATTCTTGAATAATGTAAAAATAAACATTAAAATATGATCTAAATATATATTTGAAAAATCACTTTAATATAGATCTTGAATGACATTTAATTAAAGATATATTTTATAAAATAAAAATCTGTTAAACTTATTATGTAATGATTTTATTTTTATATTAGCATATATGTTATATTAAAGATATTTTAATATTTCATATTTTTTGGTTTAATTATATATATCATTAGAGATTCAATAAATCTTTTATTTTATTTATAAAATTATAGAAAATATACATTAAGTAAAATAAACATATAGATTAATGTAAAATATTATATTAAATAGAAAATTTTTTTTTTTAGAATTAATTTCTTTATTTATTTTAGTTATATTTTAATTAATATTATCAAATTAATAATATTTTTGAATAAAATATTAATAAGTTTTAAAATTATAATATAATATAAATATTTATATTATATATTTAATTTTGCTTTTTTTTTAATTTTTTTAATATTTTAATTTATTATAAAAACACTTTATAGTATAAAAAAATAAATATTTTATATGTTTAATATAATTTTTAAATAAAATATATTTATAATTAATACTAACTTAAAAATAAATTTTTTGTAATTTCCATTATTTTTTACTATAAAATACATATTTATAAATATATAATTATATTATAAATTTTTTATTAAAAACTTTCTTATTAAATTTATTAAAATAAAATAAATCAAGTTATAAGTTATAATTAATTAATTAATTATAATTTAGTTGTAATTATTTACAAATAATTATTTAATATATTTATAATAATTAAAAATATTTCTTTTCATAATAGCTTTTTTTACTTCTTTAAATAATGAAAATAATATTATAATTATAATACAAAATTTTTATTAAAAAATAAATATTTTTATAATTAAAAAAAAATGATCCAAAACCAAATCAATATATTATTAGATCTATTTATTGCAATTGTCTTTATTTAAAATGAATAATAAGACATTTAATTACATTAATTGAAATTTTTACAAATCTAATAAGTTTAGTTTATGACAAAGTCAAAAGCGTATCACATGTCCGAAATAAATAAATAAGGATTGCGCGTGACTGTTCGTTCGCACTCGAATACAAAAAGCGATATTAATAATATGAATAAGGAGGATCGAATCGACTATTATCGTTCGCTTACTAAATATTCAAATCATGAAGAGGCTTTACAATTATTGAAAAAGCTCGCCACTCATGTAATCGCAAAGTACCCTTTTTAACTTTTATTTATTTTATTTTTTTTTTTTGAAATTGGTTTTTTTTTTTTTGTAAAATTTAATTAGGTGAGACCTATAATGAAAAAACGTAATTGGCGTGTAGGTACCTTGGAAGAAATTTGGCCCGCTGAGGGAGGTCTGCTTGGTTGGTATATATAAATCCTTTAAAAATAGATCCTTATTTGTTTTAATAATAATTTGTATACTTTTAATTTTTAGGAATTAATAAAGATCGTGGCAAGACAATATGTATTAGATTACGCCCACATTATGATGAAAGACGATTTTATGATTTCGATGATTTAATTGGAACAATGTTGCATGAGTATATTATCATTATTTTTTTCCAAAAAAAAAAAAAAAATTGTATAGAAATT